GCTTGGACCCTGCATGGAGCCGTGTCGTTGCTCAGCAGCCTGCCATGCTCTGCGGACCTTGGGACTTTCAATGGACCTGAATGAATGGCCTGCCGTGTGGTTTGGTAACATCAGGGCTGTGACTTGTTACTTGTCAACCTTGGGTTTGTCAGCCTCAGCAGCCAGCAGCTGAGTGAAGAAACGCCTCCAGCTTCAGTGGGCCAGAAGCAGACAGTAGAGCTGAAGCCCAAGGTTGAGGGCCTTTCACCCAGCCCCCAGAGCCTGGTACTTTGAAATCGGACTTGAAGCCTCCAAAATTGTAAGAGAATAAACTCCTGTTTGTTAAAGCCATCCCGTTTGTGGTATCTTCTGTTAGACCAGCATTCTCACTCACTCACTGCTGTGGAGCCAGATACAGAGGTAACCAAAACAGATACATTCCAATGAGAGGGATAGCTAGATAGGAGGGTATGTGCATTTACAGTTTTTAATACAAACTGCTAAACAGTCTTGCAAAAAGAATCTACGAATATAAAAGTGAATAAAACACCCATGGGAATGTAACAGTTTCACAGGGTACCAGCAAAAAGATTAACAGGTATAAAATAGTACCTCCCCACTGCAGTTTTCATATTCATGTTTCTGAGAAACAGTTATGATAAACATGGCTCCATACAACTTACTGATTCTATCTCTTCCATAACTGATCCCTTTGTGTCCTTGTCCATCTGCTGATGGACGCGTCGGTGGTTATTTGTTTACTTTGTATCAAGGGCTTACCCATTTGTTTGGACAACCTTTACACAAAGCCTGGCTCCTCTCTCCTTCCACTTGTCTCCTTACCTGTTTCTGAGATGTGCCTCCAGGTCACAGCGCTGCATGACATCCTGGCACACTGAAGCAAATGGGCACAGAACTAACAGCTTGTCCAGAAGCTTGTGGACGAGAATGCTGGACTTCTTACACAACTTGAAGTGAAGTCTCTTGCGGTCCAGAGGACAGAAGTCCTTCTCCAGCAGGAAGTTTCTCAGGCACTTGTAGCAGAACGTGTGTCCGCAGGGGGTGTCCAGGGGCTGCAACAGAGGCTGAAGGCAAATGTGGCAGACCAGGTCGTCGTCCACCTCGTCCTGGTAATTGTACAGGTGGTTTTCTCTCGTCCAGTGCTGCTGGCCACACTCGAAACACAGAGGGTTTAAGGAGGAGGACGGCTGTTCCACAGGCACCGGCTCCTCGCTGGTGGTTCCCATTCTGAATCAACGAGGCAGCTTCTCTCTCCTCATATGCCACCCCTCCACTTACGGTTTAGTTTCCTTTAACGGACAAGGACGTATGTGATGCAAATCATGGTCCACTTTTCTAGAGAAACAGAACAAAGCAAGAAGAATTAATGTTAATCAAGATCGGCTAAAAGCATCAATACAAAATTATTGGTTAACTTCTTTGTTAGGGAAAAATATAAAAATTTAGGTCAGGTACTAAATTGAGTCAGAAAAAAAAACCCATAAAAATGAAATGAACTGCTTTGTTAGAGTGCCACGTTCTCAATGAAGTAAGATTGAGTGATTAAAAGCAAGGATGTTATCATATCTTCTATGAGGGACATCAGAACAACTCACTGGTTTTCCTGACTGCCATCCCCAAATAAGTCACTACTCAATGGGGTTTCAGAGCCAATGCATCTGCATACCATGCTAACAGAGCAACTTCAGGTATATTACATACTACATCTGCACATCACTCCAGTCATGGTTCTTGCTTCTGGTTGACTTGACACAGCTGTATACTATATCCAAGACTGCATCTTTGTAATTTTTTTTTTTTTTTAAAGATATATATATATCTTTAAAAAGGTGTATTTTTTATTTTTAATTGTAATTTGGGTGAAAATTTACAGAGCAAATTCACTTTTCATATAGCAGTTCACAGACTTTTTGTCTCATGACATTGACTGCAACTTACCCCAATGTAACAGCTCCCTTCCCACTTCCTCCCAATAGTTACCTCTTCCTGTGTCCATCCCTCCATGCACTCCTGCCCCCTGAGCTGTCTCCCTGTGCATAAGCAGCCCTTCTTTCTCCCATGATTGTTCTCTCCAAGGAGTGTATCTACCTCAGGTAAATGTTCAACTCATATGCTTGTCTGTTGTTTGGCTGGAAGCCACAGGTATGGGTTCAATTCCAGACCTGAAGGGCAGCTAGGGGCCATGGTCTCAGTGGTTCCAGCAGGCTGTATCAAACCAGCACCTGGTTCCCTTTTTTTTCTTTTTCCCAAATGATTTTGAGTTTTGTTCCCCACTGTTCTCCCTCTCTATCCAGTATCTCCTATATAGATCCCCCTCTGAGTGGGTGACAGTGGTAGCTGGGCACCATCTAGTTCTTCTGGTCTCATAGTCATATAGGCTGCAGATCACATGGTGTACCAGTAGCTAGGACTAATTGCTTCCATGAATCTTTGGTTTTCTTCATTCTTCTTTGTTCTGGATGAGCAGAGACCCATCACTGCATCTAGATGGCAGCTTGCAAGCTTTTAAGATCCCAGTCCCTACTCACCAAAGTAGGAGGTGAAACAATGCTTTGTGTAGTATGTTATGCCATTTGAGCTTGATGCCCCCGAGACTATGATCCTGAGCCCACTGGTTCAACTACTTAGTCACTCTGGGTAGCTGGCTGTGACCCATGTCAGCTCTACTATACACCTGGGAATTCCCACAGAACATACAAATACACTTATAGGACCATATTCTGCCAATTCTATTCATGGTCTTGGGTATACTCCCCGCTTCATAGATATACCTAATAGTTCAGCCTGTCCACCCATCTATTTACCCGTATACCCATGTCTGCCTTCACTGACAACACAGTACTGTATGTGCAAAAGGGTTCATATGTGTTGTCTCTACCTCCCATGTACCTCTCTATGTCTTCCTCTTCCTCAATGCCACCATGTTGATCACTCACATTTGGTACAGTGCCTTTCTCTTCACTCAAATCAATACATGTCTCTACCTATCTAAAAGAGTTCCTTACCCTCTCCTCCCACTGCTGGTAACCAACAAAGAAAATTTCCCTCCATGGATAAACCTATCCTTAACTTTTACAATAACAGACTAATACAATATTTGTCCTTCTGTGATTGACTTAATTTCACTTAGCATAATGTCCTCCAAGTTCATCCATGTTATGCAGTGTTTTGCAGATTCTACTTTATGCTTTAGGGTTGCATAGTATTCCATTGTGTGTATTTACCATAGTTTGGTTATCCATTCCTCAGTTGATGGACATCTAGCTTGTTTCCATCTTTTGGCTATTGCAAATAGTGCTGCGATGAACATGGGTGTGTGTATGTCTGTTCTTGTCATGGCTCTCACTTCTTTAGGATATATATCTAGTAATGGAATGGCTGAATCACATGGTATTTCTCATTCCAACTTTTGAAGGAATCACCATACTGCTTTCCACAGTAGTTGTACCATTTGACAGTCCCACCAGCAGTGCTGTTGTTAGGTACCGTTGAGTCGTTTCCGACTCATAGCGACCCCATGTACAGCGGAACGAAACACTGCCCGATCCCGCACCAGCTCCATGATCCCTGCTATACTTGATCCCATTGTTGCAGCCACTGTGTCAATCCATCTTGTTGAAGGCCTTCCTCTCTTTCGTCAACACTCCACCCTACCAAGCATGACATCCTTCTCCAGGTAATGGTCCCTTCTAACAACATGACCAAAGTAGGTGAAACAAAGTCTTGCCATTCTTGCTTCCAAAGAGCATTCCAGCTGCACTTCCTTCAAGACAGATCCATTAGTTCTTTTAGCAGTCCATGATACTTTCAACATTCTTCGCCAGCACAACTCAAAAGCATCAACTCTTCTTTGGTCTTCCTTATTTATCATCCAGCTCTCACATGCATACGAGGTGATTGGAAATATCATGGTTTGTGTCAGGTGCACCTTAGTCCTCAAGGAGACATCCTTGCTCCTCAGCACTTGAAACAGTTCCTTCATGGTTGACCTTTCCAGTGCTATACATTGTCTAATGTCCTGCCTGCTGCTTCCATTGGCATCAATTGTAGAACCAAGCAATGCGAATTCTTTGACAACCTCAATCTTCTCTCCATTTATTGTGATGCTGCTTATAGGTCCAGTTGTGAGGATTTTTGTTTTCTTTATATTGAGACATAATCCATACTGCAGACTGTATTCTTAATGACCACCAGCAGTGTATGAGAGTCCCAATCTCTCCAAATCCTCACCAGCATGTGTTATTTTCTGTATTGTTAAACTTTGCTACTAGTGCTGAGGCAAGATGGTATCTCATTGTTGTTTTGATTTGCGTCTCTAATGGCTAATGATCTTGAGCATTTCTTCATATGTTTGTTAGCCCGTTGAATATCCTCCTTGGTGAAGTGTCTATTCTTGTCTAGGCAGAGGATCATATCATCAGCAAATAGGGATAGTTTGACTTCTTCCTTATCGATTTGGATGCCTTATGGCCCTGACTAGGAATTCCAGTACAATGTTGAATAGAAGTGGTGATAGAGGGCATCCTTGTCTGGTTCCTGCTTGCAAAAGGAATGGTTTCAGTCTCTCTCCATTGAGAATAATGTTGGCTGTTGGTTTTGCACAGATGCCCTTTATTATGTTGAGGAATGTCCCTTCCATTCCTATTTTGCTGAGAGTTTTGATCAGAAATGGGTGTTGGATTTTATCAAATGCTTTTTCTGCATCAATTGATATGATCATGTGGTT